TAAATATGCTTATTATAAACTTTGAAAGAGATATTTATACTATATAAAACTACTTATATACTACTATATAGTATTATAAACTAAATATATTTAGTATTAATAGTAGGTTATCTCTAAGAATTCATTTTTTCTAAGAAAGTTTTAAGAAAAACAAAATTTCTAGAAAAGCTAAGAAATCTAGTATATTAATACTATACTAAATTAGTATTTAGCTTTGTAAGCTAGTATAGTACATAGTAAGTCTAATTAAAAATTATTTTAAATATTAACTTATTTAGGATTAGAGTTAAAGTTATAAATCCTTTATAATTAAGGTCTATATAAACTAATATTATAAATATCTAAAGAACTATTATATATATAAGTACTATATATATATAGGAATTTTTATAATTTTTTAAGATTAGTTTTAAGCTATAAACAGCGTTTTTTAAGGTTAAGGTTATAGACTTATTAGTAATATTAGGAGTGGAAAACATTTTTTATATAGAAACCTAGTATTTTCACCCCCCCTATAAGTAGGGGGAGTTTAGCGCTTAATATGGCTGACTAACACCCCTAAGTAGTTACACTATCTTATATATTATATATATAGTAGATAGGAGATATATATATCTATACTATTTATATAATATATTATGCTACTAATATATATAGCTTAGGTAGAGCTTATTTTAATATATTACTAACAGCTTATAAGCCTTTTCCTCTCTATTGGTTTATCTTACCTCTTTAGGCACTACTACTATACTTTTATTACAGCTTAATTAGTAAAGCTATAATAAGTATTATATAATATATTATATACTATATCGTATCAAATAATACTATAACTTATAATATATATTATTAATATATAATATCTTAATATAATAATAATAATAATACAATGATATTCTACTTACTTATTTATTTTATATAAAATAAATAAGGAGACTTTTATATATATAACTTTATATAAAAATATTTAGTAAATTATAACTTACAACTTTAATAATACTTATATAATCTCTTTTTTTGCATAACGAATTCTAATTATATAACTAAAATATATTACCTAAAACGTAAAGTTATCTTTCTCTTTATTTTTCTTATTTTAAGATATAACTTACTAACTATATTAACTAAAATTATTATAATATATTCCTTCTCTATTAATCATCTATACATTTAAAAACTTATAAATACTATAGATTATTATATTTTATTATAATATATCTCTATCTATAACTCTATATTATATAGGTATATATACTACACTACTAAGTACTTTTATACTTATACTAATAGTTACTACTAATTCTAATGCTTAAATTAGTAGTTACCTAGCCTACTCTACTAAGATATATACTGCAGCTATAATAGCTTAATACTAATTTCAGCTGCTAAATTAGTATTAAGCCTTTAAACTATATTAATATATAGCTACTAAGCTTATTCTTAAAAGCACTTATAACTAATAGTATTTACTTAAAAGTAGCTTTTTCAAAAAAAAGCTATACTTTTGCTTAACTAGTAAAAACTATATAAAAATAAGTATAAGCTATAATAACTACTTTTTCTAGCGTGCCTTACCTAATTAGGCACTTAGTCAGCAATTTCCATCTAGCAGCTGTCTTTTCAGAGGCTGTTTTTTAAACTTGCCAACTTCATACCTCCAACGCCTCCAACGCCTGATTACTACTTTTTACCCACGCCACCACCACTACGCCGCGATGGGGGCGTTAGCAGCGCGTCAGTTCGTCAACTACGTTAAACCCCGTCAGCCGTATGCAAAACATCCAAAAGTACGCTGCAGGCTGGATCAGTATGAATGCAGCACACCACCATATCCACATCTCCACCATTCCAACCCAAGCACCTCCCACTCATGCACAATAGCAACATCAATCGACAAGTCCTTAGCCAAAAGGCAGGTCCCCACCCAGCCGCATAAGCCGTTACTTTCATCACTAGGATATCCAAGAGTGGATCTACTTCCCAAAGTACCCACAGTGCCAGAGCAGACAACCACAGGTCCGTCGTGGAGGAGTGGGGCCAGGGCATCAGGAGAACACTGTGGTTTCCCTAAGTAGTCTGCACTAACTTTCGCTCCAAAAAGTATGACCTGCTTCCTGGAACACATTCAATAAACCTAGCAACTTTGCGTTGCAAATAGCCCAGTAACTTTGGCCGGTCAGAAGTTTGCACTGCACTTCACACTCTGCACTGCTATATAATCGCTGCTTTCGCAAATTTGAGCGCGAAGCTTGAAGTAGTACGTACCCACCAGCGCCTGTTGGCAACCACAACACGGGCAAAGGTGCTGGTGCCGCTCATACATCTCATGCCTGCAAGACAAAGGCGCGGAACCCAAAACGAACAGATATGAACCCAGGACCAAGGCGCAGCTTTCTCCAACGGCTGTCGCATTCCTCGTTTCAAGACTTCCGTCACTGACCATTGCATAGGTACTCTTCCATCAGACAAGCTGCAGCCGGGCTCTGCAGAATCACAATGGACTGTTGCCATGTTGGTGGATTGTGAGGAAGCCTGCCTGGTGCATCGTGCTTCCTTTCGACGACAACCCATAAGGAATAGCATATCGCTCTGCAAATGGTTGGCCTCCAAATGGGTTCAATGCTCCTTCCCACTTTGCTCCAGCATCACCCTATCCATAACTAAATCGCACTTCCTCCAGGCTGTCTTATTTCAATACTCAAGAGCCTTCTTATCGCCTATGTAGCAAGATAGTAGCTTCCAGTGATGTCCATTGTCTGTCTGTAATTGATTCCCTCCCGTAACCCACGTTGTGCAGCCTCGTGAACTACACAGCATCAGGTCCATCGCGTAGGCCAGCATCTCGTCGCACCCTGTTCGATCGCATCGCGTCGCATCACCAACTTATCCCATCGATTGCCACCACAGACACTCGTTCTGCTTCTGTAAATGTCCACAAGTCCTTCTAGTGAGCCTGGGATCAGGGGCCGACGAGATCAACCAATCAAGTTGCTCAGGCTCCGAAGTGCACACCTCCTTTGGCAATGACCGGCTCAACATAGTCTCAGAGTACCACTTTTGTTCTCCCAATTTTGGCAGCGTTCGAGTCGAAAGTCCTACGCAGCATGACATTCAGATACATACAAGTAAACATGTGCTACAGCGCCACTTCTGATAACCTAGAAAATTACACTCTCAATATGAAAAGGCCATCATCGTGGCCTTCAACGTCACGAAAAATCCAATTTTCATCCGTGGTTACGCACAGATACGCTTTTGATCATCCAGAATCTATCCATTTTTTGGGCTTCCACGAACATCGTGATGTCAGCTCGTGACTTCAACCATGTCTTCTCACAAAATGTAAGTCCTTATGCTCATACTTTGCCCTGTGCCAGCACACCATGACAACCAGGGACCATATAATTGCAAATGCTACTGTCAATTCAGCTGCAGCCACGACTGCCAATGCCGTCTACAATATCTTTCTATAGGAGTAAAAGACAGACAGGATCAGGTACGGTTATTTTGAGAGGTCGTCAGAGCCTGAGTCTTTCACAGAGTGGGATACCAGGAAAATGTAGTCAGAATTTGGAGTTGACATAGTCACGGAGACTCTGGTTTGGCGAAGGGCGTCAAAACATGCATACTAGCAAGACCGAACTTGAGTTGCTGCAAGTGCCCGGGCTGCTTATCAGCCCATTGCCGTACGATGGATGGTCAATCAGTTGTGCTACATGGTGTGATCAATAATCTACGCACTGTGCTACTAAATTAGAAAAACCAAACATTGCCTGGTTCTCACCTCGCCGTAGAAACACTTTTATTTCTCATTCTTTATCACAACACTGAAACCAGCACTGCCTTACTCCTCCATATTACCCCTCCATCTATCCTCATAATCTCGTCTTATTCCATTAAGCTGGATGTTATTTATGCAGCAAAACTATCCAGTCAAGCAACTTACTGAGTCTCTTATGACTAATAACGATAACAACAAGACGAAAATGGAATGCGCTAGCTTGTACAATCTCCAGGAGGAACTTATCACCAAGATCATCGTATCTACCCTGCAATACGACGAAGACGCTGGACTCCCAGAGTTCTTAATCCTAGCCTCGATATACAGGAGGGTTCGCCGGATCCATGCCAGCACCGCATCTCATGTCATCTGGGACGTTGGAGCCCGCTCCATGGCGGCACTTGAGGATGTAATTGTTGCCTTAAGTCCATCAGAAGATGTTGAGCAACGTTCCCTAACATATGCTCCCCAAGGTCTGTGCCATGGAACTGGTAAAGACGGCTTTTGTCTTTGGTGTCCCTCCCCCTGACCTCACCCCTCGTCTCCAGCCTCGGCAGGCCTGCCGGAAATCCGATGTTGTATGAGATCGCCGTGGCACTCGGCTTGCGGCATCTCGTACGGTGCACAGAGGAGATGTTCAATGTTCATCCAGTGGAACCTCGACACCCCTGCGCGGGAACTGCGCTATGTCGGCGCCCAGGGAGACTAGGCCAAGACGCGGGCTGCGTGGACCGAGCGGTTCCACAGATCGGCCTACCGCATTTTCGTCCCCAGGTCCATGCTGTCTAGGGCTTATCACAAGCCCTTCTTTCGGGAGGATTCTTCTGCTAAGGATGGCTACGTAGGTGCCTATGTTGCCGAGTTTGATTTGGTTAAGCCCTGCAATAAGGAGCATGATGTCGACTGCTCGGAATGCCCGCCATTGGGGAACATGCAGGACTCCCTCCAGCAGGAATACCCGAAGTAGTTCGTGGTGTACAACCTCGAGGACTTCGAAATCAGAAATCTCCATGGACAGACGGCCGTCTTTGGTGCCTTCGCCGAGAGGGTGATGCATGAAACCGACATCCGTGCCGAAAGCGAGATATAACACAAGTCCGGAAAGGTCCCTTCGACAACACCACTATTGCAAGAATATGGAACATCTCGCAGCTCATTGCATGTCACCTCCAATATTGTCTCGGCGCCTGGGCATTACTGCCACGACCACCAGAGCCAGATGTACCTCCGATTCGCAAAGGAGCCCACTGCGACCAGGACCGCCACGATCGTCATGTGTGGCAGTTTCTCCCCTGAAGACATCACCATGCCTGATTGCATCGCTGACGCCAAGGACTCTGTCTTGTGCGCGAGGATGATCGACCGGCGTGGCGAGCAGGACCCGTCCCTACTGCTCGACCTCGTCTTCGAGCCCTTCTTCGCCACATCGCCGGGACACGGGAGGAGAGCTAGCCATCCTTCACCACCGCCTCCGCTGCAGCTGTGAGAGTTCATGTTGAGAAAGTACGCCGGCTTGCGGTTTGTCGACGACGCGTGGGAGGTACGCGGAGACGCCCCGTATGCAGAGTTCCTCGACTACGTCAACGCCTTCTCCGCTGACACGAACGAAAACAACCGTTACAGTCTGGATATCTATCAGAGGCTTTAGGATTTAGGTTTATATTGTGGCTGATACTGGAGGATTGGTAGAGACTGCGGACGGGGCTGCTATAGGAAGCGCCTTGCAGCCGATACCGCTTGGAAGAAGGCCTGCTCGCATGGTGATGAGGAAGGTACGTATGGAACACGAAACTCCCTAAAGTATCCAGCTCAAGAAAGCTCGTCTGATTTGTATTGTCTACATATTTGAGCCTAGCGTTCAAGGCCCGATCAAATGGTATGAATAAGCCATGGGATGACCGGAAAGAACAACCTTCTGCTGCCATACTGCATGTGTTCATGTTCTCTGTGTACATGACAAGCCCTCTTTCGGAAATTTGACTCGGCTTATACACTTTATGATACCGCGCTATAAATTGACGGTTCGTATTACTAGACATGCAGACTTCTTGTAACACGTAAGGCCAGAAATTGAAAGACACTTGCGATGCTTGGCATAGACTTGAGCGAGACTTGGTTATTAAGGTATCTGAAAGGGCAAAAGACTCTTAACGATCGTGATCTCTAGTTTTCCAAGAGGTTCTAACAACTCAGCAGATACAAAGACAAGGAGTGCCGAGCTGATTTGTTCTGTCAACTCCACCAGCTCATCCCCCTTCGTCCTTCAGATTCACCGCCGTCCTTCCTCCCTCTCATCCTTCAGTGTTTCATCATTGAATCGAAGTGTGAGCTTTTACGTAACTGAGAAGATCCATTGCCTACGTCTCCCTTTTCTTGCTTTTCGTCATCGCGGTGACCGCGCAGGGATTTCCTGGCCCGCGTATTACATCTCTCGACGCAGATGGCAATGAGGTTTACGTCGCGAAGGTATACAGCAGCTCTGAACAAGACTCGAATTACCGTGGTAGGCCTGTTACGCGACATTGTACGCGATGTATGTTCTGCGTAGATAGTTCTGACGATTGAGCTCCGCAGTCAAAGACTTTGGGATTAACCGCCAACCCTGCTGTACAACGGCCATATCGTGCCGACTCTCTGCAAGAACGTCCGACAGTACCTCGGTCAGGACGTCTCCACGGCCACTCTCCATTACGATGGCCGGGGGACCAGGAAAATAGGGCGACGCAAGCAGACCTGTCCCAGCGCTTGGAACGGGACTCCCCGGACGGGCGGGTTAGCCGGCCCCGTTCAGAGGTGCCCGGAGAGAGACCAGCCAGACTGGAGATACCAGAACAATCGGGTTACCCATGCCGCCGTCGACGCCGGTCTGTACGTCGACCCTAAGAACGGCGACACCAGCATCAACCGGCTGGCTACGAAGACGGAATTGCACGACACTTTGACTCCACGAGGTGGGATAAATAGATGGGAGAGGGTGCCGCATAAGCAAGGGCTTGCAAAGTGTCCTTCGACAGCCGTGAACTGGCCGACGAATGGTGTTGGAAAGACTGGATTGATAATCAACTTTCCAAGGGAGATTTTCTCCAATAGTCCAGCTCGCGCAGCAAACGTGCAATCAACCAAGAAGGACGTCCAAGTGGTGTATCTACCGTGGCCCTCTGGCCCCATCCCGGCGGTTGATCTAAGCATTGTCTGCAACGGCTCCGGTAACAACAGGCATAATAATTTCAATCCCATCACCTGTGTCTCGCTGACATCATACAGCCAAAGATCTTGGTGGTGAATGCATTCGCCGGACATCAGCAGGGGAGGGAGGTTGGCTGCATTTACATTCGCAACAAGTTTTGAGGAGACAGCCGTTCGATCCCGAGACTGCTGGAGAAGTCTGCCATATGGGGTTACAGCTCTAGACCTTTTTGGCGAAATGCCCGCCCAAAGACAGGCAGCAGCCCTCCGTCGCAAACCCCAATCAGTGCCACCACACCACCTGGAAGTTCTTTTTCCCCCCAGGGAAATCAATCTTGCGAAGAAGGAGAGTTATTCATATCTTCGTCTTTGCTTGCTTCCTAGCATAGTCCGTCACGGATGTTGAGTCACTGACGGGCTTCAAGTTATTTCGTCCTGGCAAGCCGACGCTGATAACGAAGAGCAAGACAGTGAAGAACAAAACAGCAAAGGGTTATGAGAAGACGACGTGGAGTTTACTCCTGTTGGAGGAAATTTACAACCCCTGGCTGTTCCCGCTGACGAGTACGGGGCTGATGAAGAGCGTGCTGCCTCTATCCAAGACCCTGCTGCTCCTGTACAAACCCAGAACTTTTTTCCCGCCTAGTCTGAAGCCGACGACGAACCTGCTTTCTCCTTTGAACAGGAGAAGCTCGCTATCGTTACTGAAGACGACCAAGGTCCAGCACAAATGAATGACGCTGAAGAACCAGATCAAGGATGGGAGGAGAAGAGAGTAGTCCCGGAAGCCGACGAAAGAAGTGATGCAAGCCCCTTGCGCGATTCTCCACAAGCACCAAGGCACACTCTATTCGAACGTCTTTCGAGAGAAGCCTTTTCTCCACCCCCGTTACATCAGGATGAGCAATTGTTCTGGCCAGTTTGTCGTACTCGTCTCAAAGTCCAACAAGCGGTACACTGTCAGACGATGATTCACAAAGACCGCCACAATTTCCCGGGGATTCAGACAGCCTAGCAGCACCACCCCACATACGGAGATCAGTAGGTGACATCTTTTCCGACATCGTCGATTGGGCTCGTCGCTCCTCGGGTAATCCACCAAGGGAAGGGAACGAAGGAAGTGAGTCGATGATGAAAGAACCGGCAGTTGTTCATTCAAGAAAGACGGGTCGCCCCTTTGATGGTCTCATCCTCAACTGAGGGACGGGATGCTCCAACCGCCCAAACAGACAGCCTTCCAACACCATGCAACAACTGCAGGATACTCGAAATGCGTGGCAAAAAAAAAAAACACTTGATCCAGTCGGCTGGGCGATTTATCATGAACAACGCCTGGAAGATGTGCAGGAGATCGAGCAGAACCGAGTGACAGAAGACGCCCAGGCTATCATGCAAGCCCGGGTCGATCTTAACGCGCGCATTGAGAAACTCTTGCATGCACCGGGAGAACGGGTGGAAATGCCGTCAGCAGCTTAGAAGGTTGAGATGGCCAAGGGCAACATCGCAGGAAATGTGGCTGATTGAGCTGCGTTGCAGAAAATGCAAGGCCCTGGGTATCCCTGCAGACAGACACGGACCACCGCAGGAAGATCCTGGCATCAGAAGCCGGGCTATTGAACGACAAAGCTTCAGACATGCCGAGAGCAACAAGTAGTGTAGAGAGACACCTGCAAGCGCTGCATGAAGAGGAAGAGATTCGAGGAGAGAGGGGGGTTATGTTGAGGACAGCTTTGATAAAGTGGAAGTGACGGACAGGGAGGACCAGATTAGTGAGCAATAGATGTGCTGATGGAAGGGGGGTGAATCAACAGAAAGGGTATTGATAGATGAAACTGAGATAGACTGGCAATGTGTTTAGATGGAGCAGGTTTTATTTCTTGTCAAAAAGGCGTTGTTCCTAGGCCTTTGCAATGGAAGTATGAATCTACACATTTGCGCGCATCTGAAGGACCGGTGACAAGTCAAGAAGCCACATCACGGATGCCTTTCAGACACCGCCCGGCCAGTGGCACATGAGGAACTATCAGAAGACCGCTGTCAATGTTGCTAGATTCCTCTGCATCTTATTAAAACCCTAGCGAAAAGTTTCTTGGCACTTGAAAGATCAAGACTGCAGTTGGCCAGCCCGTGGTCATGAATAGGTCCCGGGTATTCAGCGAGAATATGACACGGTGATAGGACGTGGCCAGACTTCTGAGTCCGGAGATCCTGCCTTGCCACTGAAGCGGCGGCGTTCGCAACGGAATGCCTCTCGCATGAGCATACCTGGCCGTCGCAACCTAGAAGACGAGGCATAATGCTCCGCAGTGTCTGTTTTAATTAAGATATGCCGCAACAGCACCGAATGTCCTTAATGTAAGACCTTCCTTAAGGACATGAGCCGCACATGTGTCTTTACTTCAACCTTACGAGAGCCGTGTAGTCTGGTCATTCTGGGATTGGAGAAAGGCCTTGAGATTGACATTTGTTATGTCATGAGACGTCATTCTTGTTAAGTCGCGCATCGCACCCGCAAAATCCCGGAAGGCTTACGAGCAAGGGCAAGCCATGGTATGGATGGAGCAGAAGCCGGTATCAGAGGGCTCATCAGTCAAAGTGAGATGATCGTCGACAACGGTTGCCCGGCTTGAAATGATACGAGAGATTTGGGCTCGGCCTCTCATCAGCGTTTCTACAGGAAACCTTCTCGTAGAATTCCACAGTCCGAGCCATCTCAACATGCCATCCGCTGCAGGACCTTTCGTCGCGGATACGCTTCTCAGCCCCCCGAATTTGGCAGGAGCCGTGTCCTTGATGTCTAGACTTTGTCAGAGTCACGAAAAAGCTGGCGCAGAATGATATTTGTCGATGATAGGGCATCTCGACGTACGCTCAATAGCTTCTGGGAGCTCAGATCGAGAGAAGGACCCCGTCGTCGTCTAAATTGCTGTTGTTGCTACAAGTAACCAATTCATTCCGTAGACCTTAGCGGATAGAGCAGAAAGGACAGACGTGTGATTTATTGGTGTTTTGAGAAAGGGTCATCAGGCAACAATCGCTTGTTCGGGCTTACGTATCGCGTCAGGCTTCAGCTCGACCGTCTCTGGGAATTCTATGGCATTCTGGTCGTTGAATGCCTCGCTGGCGTCCTTAACCTTTGCGGCAGCCATCCGTGTAGAGAAAGGAAGGTCATTCGGGAACATGGGCGCAGGCACGGTAGTGATGTTGTGATTGGAAGATGCTCAGCAGTCTCTGGATGTGCAAGTACTGCCGGCGCTGTAGGGTGCGCACGGCACTCTATGTCTTTCAGAGCTATCAGATGGGTAGATATGAGCTGGGTAATTTGAAAATCTCTCCAAGGGTTGGCTTAGATGATGGGGCAAGCTGGATGCTAAGAGTGGGGTGTAGACGGCGCAGGAACCGGAGAAGGCGAAAAGAATGGACTCAGAGAACGAGTATTAGCCTCGGTTACGATGAAGCTTGAACACGTTTGGTATTATCCTCAAGCGGCAAACTGTGCTCATTCAAATGAACGGTATTCAAGACCGGGGACATTCGAAATGGCTGGTTCAAGTCGCTTCGAAGCACATTATGCGCCCCAAATGGCTCTTGGTGTAATTAAAAGCAACGTCTGCTGCGGAGAGAGAGGGGCTCACAGCATTCAAAAGGAGCCCTCGGACCGGAAGCATGAGGCGAGCGTAATATTTATATCGAGCTTAGGTACCGACAAGCTTACCTCCGATGTGATGAATTTCTCCATTTCTCGAGGATCTATGTATGCCCCTTCCCGTCGCGGCCGTCTTCACCATCTTCTGCATTTTCCCACAACAATTCAAACAGATGCCACCTAACCAAAATTCGTTGCAGTAACAGTATCTGGTAAACGGCCCGAAGGACAAATGGACAAGTTATCCAGTGGCCCTTTGGAAGGTTTGCGCCGCGTTATTGGAATTGCTTAACGGTGAGAAATGGGTGACTGTGTCCAAGGTCCGGCGAGTGCGCAACATGCGGTTAGTTGCGTCAGTGCGTTGTGGGTGCCGGAATGTGGCGAGCCGTGGTGGGCATTGCATCCAAGACGGATGAATGAATGCAATTATGGCAAAGGATGCAGTCTTTTGATTTGGTTCATGTTGGAGATGAAGCTCTCCGGTCCGGCTTGATGGTGATGAGTGCGGGGAGAATGGGTGAAGACCGTGATGGAAAGTATTGTTGGATTCTACAGTCTTCAATTTATTATCGCTCCTGAATATTCCAGTGCCAAAGCGTTGTACCCTGTCAAGGCCTTTACTATTGGCAGAGTCTGAGTTTACTAATGTTAGATCTCATCATCATTATAGCTCCGTGCATCAACAGAAATTCAATTCCCATGGCAAAGGGGCGCCGTAATGAGGGTATGAGAGTCAACGGCCGTCAGCATGGCCTGGATCCCTTGGACGTGATGTTGGAGTCTCATTCTGGCAGGTCGTCTCGATGGTAGTGGTGGTAGTCATCCGTAAAAATATCGACAGGGCGATGAAACAGTCCCCAAGGTCCGCTGTGGTAGATATAGCGCGGTTGTCACCGGGTGGTCTTGATCAACGTCGCAGACAATATTCATTCAGTCGAAGTCAAGTCGGTTCGGAAACGCATCAAGTTAATTTAATTTGAGACTCATCTTGAATCACCAATGATTTCAATGCATATTGACCAAGCTCCTCTCGCCACCCTCCCATCATCCACGCCCAGCTATAGCCCCAGGCATTGGGAATCATACGGGACACTTATCTTTATCTATCGAACAGGCCCTTCTTTAGATCCAGAGAACCATTCCTCATACTGTCGGTGCCTTGGCATCAGCAGTGACAAGAACAGCCAACTGCTCTTTTCGGCCGTGCACTCGCCGAAACCAGTAGACGGGGAAGTATTGATATCAGGAGGCGAGCTGTCCCGCCTGCAATATGGTCACTCTCTGCAACAAACACCAACACATACGACCATACCCACTGGAGAACTCGGGATCCCGTCCGCTCTCCCATAGATAAGCCAGTGAGGGCAGGGTTATCTAGAAGAGCAGGATCCCGGCTAACTTATCAGACAAAACGGTGCCGGGTTACGCCGCCGCTGCTTCGACGCTGTACAGTCTGCCGTTTGTAACTACTTCAATTCGCCCACCCGCCCCGACAAAATCATCCTTCTCTCACACCCCCGCCTTCTTCCTCCCCAGACCTTTTAGCATCGCCTTATTGCTATTTTCGCGTTGCCCCCAGTCTCATCATCATGCTTGACGTCCTTCAAGGCGGGGCCATGCGTGAAGGGCGGCCTAACTGTTGGCCTCCTCCAGGTCTCTGCGTCCCCCCCTTCTCTCTCTAAGTCTGCTCATCCTTTACGTCCTATGAGGGCTTTAGAAATGCAACCAGCTGCCCTTTACTGTTGATATCCTAATCTCACTGTTCTCCTCTGACTTTATTTATCTGCAGTCGCACAGGCAGGCTTTTCGCTCCTATATCGTCTTCGCTATAGTAGATCTATCATTTGATTTTAATAATTTATTCGTCTGCAATTTTAAGATTCCTTCATTCTCTACGGTCATCACGAAACTGATTAGCTATATTGCAGGATTCTGACCATTGCCTGAGACTGTCGAGGCAGCTCGCGTACCCGGGAGGGAGCCAGGTCAGCTACGACGGCAAGGTGTTTCGCGCCTATGGCGAAACCATACTCGACGTCAAGATTTACGTTCTCGAACACGAAGGAATCACAGCGTGGAAACAGGTTCTGAGATATAAGGGCAAGACCTTGGAAAATGGTAATAACCCCCCCCCCCCCAACCCCCTCCTCGACGGAGAAATACCGTCTCAAAGAAATTCTCTTCTCATCGAAAACAATCATTAACGCAAAAGTATTTATAATTCACAATTCTCATCTAGACCGTCAAACCATTTCCCGTCAAGCTGCCGCCGTGGCAGTAGCAGCAGCACAATAGGCACTACCATACGCAATAACAGTACTAGCAACATTCGTTCCACAAGCACCGTTAGAACAGTCTCTCAGACCATATCCAAAGTTGACGTTGCGGCAGAGGCAAGACGGATCAGGGGATGTGCATCCCAATGATTCATATTGCGCAAGCATGTTGTTGAAACATGTCTGACCGCAAGTTGGCAGGCTTGTGATCGCGGTTGTGGAAGATGCGGAAGTGGTCTTTGTAGCTGAAGTTGGAGTTGCCGTTCCACCCGTAGCAGTTGCTAGTGCGCTGGCGCAGTACTTGCTTTGGTATGCAATTACTGCGCTCGCATCGGCCACTCCACAGACTGCATTTGAGCAGTCCCGGATGCCATAGCCGAAGTTGACATTGCGGCACAGACATGCCGGATCGGGGGTGGAGCATCCAAGGGATGAGTATGTGTTGATCATATTCAAGAAACATGTTTGCCCGCAGGCTGGGAGAGAGGAGATGGGTGGAAGTGCAGTGCTCGATGGTGTCGACGTTGACGAAGTGAGCGAGACGGACGAGGATGTAATAGCAGTTGTGCGGGAGGTGGTCGATGGGATGCTGATGGGCGGCAGGGGATCCGTCTTGACCTGAGCCTCAAACACGAGCAGCAGCGCCTTGCCGCCGCACGTCTGTTTCGCGTCGCCGGGGCAGGGCACGTTGCACGAGGTTTGGTTTGCGGCCCAGTCGCCGCCCACAAAAGAGCCGCACCAGCACTCGGTCCCCGACTTGACGCCGGCGTAACGGAAGCCCTCGCTCCAGCACGCGGCCTGGCACTTGTCCACAGTGAGGGTGCTGCCGCCAGCCTTCGTCGACTCGGTGGCCAACGTGTGGTCGTCGATGAAGCAGCCCATTGGGTTCCATCCCGTCAGCACGGCCGTGGGCGTCTGAGACTGCGCGGGCACAGTCGTCGTGGTGCTCGCCGTGGTGGTGGTGGTTTTGGGAGGCTCTTCGCTGGCGACCTGGATGCAGTACGAGGTCCAGTCTTGCCAGTTGCTGCAGTCGAGACCGACCGACGGGTTCCAGCGGCTGAATGTCTCGGGGGAGATTGCAAACATGTAATCCCGCACCACGACGCAGGTCTCGCCTTCGTAGTTGTCATACCAGTAGCTGCACGACTTGATGGTGTCGGCCAGCACATTGGCCTGAGGCGTCTCGCCTCGCTTTCCCAGGTGCACTGCCGACGCCCCGGCTTCCCGGGGCATCATGGCAAGCCAGAGGGCTGCCGACGCGAGCGAAGAGAGAATCATGATGCTGAGCTTGCAACTTGGAGGCCAAGTGGAGGAGGGATGGACAAACGAATGATGGTCCGCTATGGGGTGAGCGTGAGGTTGACAGGCGCGGACACACGACAACAAGGCGGCGAAGAAGAGGGCCGAAGCACATCCTAATACCAGCCAGATGGTGTCGAGTCACGACGCCATTAGATTAGCCCATGAGTCCACATCCCGGAATAGAACCAGAACCGGCTTCTCCTCTGTCAGTTGTCAGGGGGGTCAGCCAAAAGGGCTTCGTCTCCCTCGGCCAAATCTCATCATCGGCATGGGTGTGATGGATGGGATTTCATTGGAAGTCATACGACGTGCTTTAACCATGTAAGTGTCGGATCAATTCCTTGATAAGGCCACAAAAATAAGCTTAGTAGATATTACATAATATAACACCCGGTAAAAGCTACCCTAGGGTATGATTACCCCTCCTAAACCAACAGCAACTGATCCACATCTAAAGACGGATATATAAATATCGTAGTAGTTGGTCGAATTCTTTTGTGTCCCTTTATGTCTTTCAATCACATTCCATCTACCTTACCGAATATCCACTCAACCAGGCATCTATTCTTGTCTCCTGCCACTTCGGTCTCTCTAGGTTGACAGACAATTTCAATGGCATCATTCGGTCCTTTTTCCCGGCTGCCTCTCGAGCTGCGCCAACGCATCTGGGAACTGAGCATGGAGCCCCGGCACGTGCTTATTGGAAAATGCGAGTACCTCCATGCGCAATCAAGCCCACCAGCCGTTCTACAGGCCTGCGCGGAATCGAGGTCGCATCTCCGAGGCCATTATACCCAGGAGGCTCGTTGCGGCCGCAGTGGATCATCGGCGTCGCGCGCCATGGTGAACTACGACATCGATACCGTCTGCATGACCGCCTTCGACATTACTATCTGGTCGAGTGCCAAGGATGCACCCATCAAGTACCTGGCGCTCGAGTCCAGGGACTCGGAGGCCTTCTTCTGGAACACTAGTGGTGCCGTGAGGGACATCGCGACTCTCGAGCACCTGGAGATACATCCTACGCCAGGCTCATGGCCGGAAAGGAAAAAGGCGCTCTTGTTGCAGGATTGGATCTCTCAGCTGGAGGTCTGGTACACCCCGTGCCCCCCGGCGCCATTCCGCACAAAGATCATCAGCCCTTGGCCAGACGTCGACATCCCTGAAGTTGGAGCGGATAACTTTGACGAGATATCGCGGGCTTGGGACAGGACGATGGGGTGGGCGTCAGACGGCTCATCGGAGGCTGACGAGCCGTTTCCAGATGCGCCCCCTCATGGTCAGGCAGAGGCTGACCAAGGGACCGGGGTGCAAGCCTTGTGAGCGGTCACCTGTTTGGCCCACACCCTACGGTCTATATTGACGCAGGTACGGATATGAGATACTGGATATGGCAAAATCAGGCCCTACGCTGACCGGTGGATCACCTTGTTACTTTTCTCCATCTCATTTCCCATCTCATTTTATTTTCCATCTCATGGTCCAACATCTCTTGTCGTTCCTTGCATCCATAACATGTTCATACTGCCGTTGTAGATGGCCGAAAATCTCAACGTTCAAGAATCATAACCGAACGGGACAACGGGGACAGTAGAGGTGACGCTGTTGCTCCTTCAGCCTATTTACGCATTCGTTTCTTCATACACTCCTTCATTCGCACCTTCGTTTCCTCGTCGCCACGTTTTCTTCACAGCAGTCCCTCATCATGCGGTTTCCCGTCTTCATCCTCAGCCTGCTCTGGCTCGTTCCCAGAGCCTTGGGCGCCGGTAGACGAGCAGCATATGAGAAGATCCTCTTCTTCTATGCATACCGAATCGACCAGCTTTTACCGGAGGACCAGCGAACAGTAGGCGTAAAGTGTGCAAAGTGGCCCACTAGGGAGGAGCTGCCCTGTGAGGACCCCGGCAACAATAAGCCCAAATATCTTCACTGCAAACCAAAACAACCGGCCAGGACGGTCTGTACTCTCGGCGAGTTTATCGGGCACATCGATAGCAACAAGGGCAAGAACTATAAGAACCAGCTCTTCGTTGATGGCGTCAAGTGGGACGAAGAAAAGCTCGACTTTGACATGAAGAAAACGGCGGAAAACATTATCAAGTACGATGCTGCCGATGGTCGCAACCCGCCCTACCGCCTCTTCAAGGACGGCGCTCTCCCTGCGTACTATGGGGACGATATCATCAAGGACGGCGTGGTTCTCGGCAAGAAGAGGGGCTACGACGGGTCGCTGAATTCCATCTTCGATCGGATGGCCTACGTCAAAAGTACGCTCCCCCAAGCGACCTTCGACAGTCCCGACGTCAAGTTCCTCTTTGATCGGGTCGAGGAGAGCCGCACCTCGGTGTTGGCAGCGCGCACGGCCGACCACGACTACTGGATCAAGAAGGACTTCGTGGCCCATATCCCAGGCATTGACGTCAAGACAGCGCCGATGGGCTACCAGGAGTGGGTCGACGGCCAGGACCGAGACATTGAGAAAATCCTGACCCCCGAGACCATCACCGCAAACCAGGCCGCCATCCCTAACGTCGAGGACCAGATGAAACAGGTCCGAGCGGACCGGCTGACGGACACGTTTGCCGGCGCGGCCCAAGGCAAGCAGGCGAGGGACCACCAGGTTGTGATGGAATGTTATGAGCAAGGAGGAACGAAGATTGAGAACGCCGTTTGCATTTGATCGCCCCATCAACCATGTTCTCCCTGTTGCGTTTTCAATATGCCCCTGAAACTTTCGATATACTTAGTAGATAGCACTCTTAGGCTTAATACGACTCTGTACTTATTTTCTCAGGCATAGATATGACAACTGCAACGAGTCGACGGTAACGATAGTTAGACGGGCCGTCGCTCCGAGCCGCACAGCCGAAAGGGAAGCAAAATCCCGTAATTATTCGTCGTTCGTTGGCCCCCCGAACAAAAACCTACAATACTTCCATGTCAAGCACCCGGTATTACAGAACTAGTTTGAGGCCACTCACTCTAGCCTATTTAGTAAGGAGGTTGACGTGAACGGTGTCCGTGCCGGAAATGAGCTCGTGCGCACCCGGGCCCCACGCGGGAAGGCGGGGCTCTAACCGAACCGCTTTGGAGTTGTGAGCTCGGGTGCCTGGAGCAGGGCTGAAGGTGGGGCCCACGAAGGGCTGTACGAGGAGCCCAAACTGGCATCCCATTCACGATGCTAGATGATGGCTGCCTTGTGAATAGCCTGATTGTTGTTGGGTGGTTGCGCTGCTTCTAGATGAGGAAGTGTCTCCGCGCGACCCCCAAAAGTCCCCTACTTCAGGTATGTACCATGTAAGCACGCCTGTGGGGGGCCTAATCCAGCCGCACCACCTAATAAGGTAGGTGGTTAACCGTGTTTGGTGGGGCGGGCACGAGTATGGATAGAGGGGGCCGCTCCCAGGGATCTGAGCTTATCTCGTTTTCATCTCTTGTGAAATTGGAAGATGGTACAATACAGTCAGCACTAAAAAATGAAAAAATAAGCCTTCTTTGTGGAGACTTCTCACGGGCCGAAGCAACTAGCACGGAGGAGTGCCCGCGCTTAGCATATCATAAGTTCCTTACGAGGATACACACGCGGCCGCACGCGGTATGCATGAATGCAGGAACCTACCCTGGCTATCACTTACACCCATTGACTGCAATATGCATCTACAGAGTAGATACGAGTTACTGAGCGGTAAGCTTACAGCTGTCTATCTCGAGGCCTTTTATCCCGTGGACGCTGGACGCTTAATTCTCCCGTCTCGTCTCCCTCAGTTTGTTCCTCCAGCGCTTTGGCATCAACTCACTCTTTTCGTTTGACTTTGGCGACCGCCGCCGTCCTCTCCCTTACACACACACTCTCTCAGAAAAAAAAAAGGTCATCTGATCACCATGTTCGTTAAGTCTTCCTGTTTATGGCTGCTGGTAGCAGCTCTGGGCGCAAGCTCTTCGCCACTGGCTGGCCCTACCTCCCAGCCTGTGGCGGTCGGCACAAGTACACCCTCCCTCCTCCCGCATCTGGTAGTACCTTTGATGGTGAACTGACTTGATTCGTTCCAGGTCCTGCCAACATCTCAACCTTCATAGATGACTTTGTCAACCAATGGAAGTCCAGCCATCCAGACCTCGATAGCGCCGAGCTTCAGAGGGTCCTGGTATCAGCCGAACAAGCCAAAGTCTCCCTCTTGAGCACGACTTCTGGGGAACTGGAGGAACGCTCACCTCTGAAACGGGACTTGCATCCCACATCGCCAGCGCCGCCCGTGCCACCCTTCGTGCCGCGGCACAGGCGTCAGCTCCAGACGGCGGGCAACTCGACAAGTGCCAACTCGACCGTCCTGGAAGCCAGGTCGCTTGTCCGCAAGGCCCAGCAGGAGGCCAGCGCCCGAAACAAGGAGCGCTTCGCCAATCCACGCACAAACGCGTACTGGGCCAAGCATGGGTCCGGCGCAGCCGGCTTGCGCGCCCGCGCAGATGATGTCGCTGCCTTTGCCATCAACGAGACCATCGCCGTTGCTGCCGCCATTGTTGCCGAGGCAGATTATGCCCATAATGTCCCCGTGGAGTACCCGCCTCTTCCCGACGACATCAGGCAGCTCAAAGAGCAGATGTTTGGTCCAACCGGGGCTGACGCCGGGGCTGGCGCTGCTGCGGGCAGCCTCGGCAAGAGGGCTCTGTCGACCTTCTGGATGGAGGACATCAGCCACACGGGCAAGGTCCCCTTCGGCGGTTCCGCCAACGACGGGTACAAGGTGTTCCGCAACGTCAAGGACTACGGCGCCAAGGGCGACGGTAAGACGGACGACACCGAGGCCATCAACAGAGCCATGAGCGACCAGAACCGCTGTGGCAACAACTGCGGCGCCTCCACGGTCAAGCCCGCCATCGTCTACTTTCCCTCGGGCACCTACCTCGTCAGCACGCCCATCACTGCGTACTACAACACTCAGATGATTGGAAACGTGAGTTCGAGAGCCTTGTTGCCCCCGATGAAATGAAACACTAGGTTTGGATTGGACTGGCATGCTAACCACAACCGGAACTCGGAACGCAGGCGAATGTCCGGCCTATTATCAAGGCGGCCAAGTCTTTTACCGGCCTCGGCGTCATCTCTGTGGACGAGTACACGGGCGGCAATGGAGGCGCGGAGCAGTGGTACATCAACCAGGTGAGTCTCCATTCTAGTCATCTTGGCTGGCAGCTTCTGATGGCAAAGGACAGAACAACTTTCTTCGTCAGCTCCGCAATTTCATAGTGGACGTCCAAGACGCAGACATGGACGACGTTGCCGGTCTCCACTGGCAAGTAGCCCAGGCTACTAGCATCCAGAATGTCGACTTCTACCAGTCACCGTCTACCGACAAGCACCATATGGGTATCTGTAAGTTCTCCCGGCTTTTGAAAAAAAAAAAAAAAAAAAAAAAGGGCTAGCTTCCCGCCTTGACTTACACTAGCATAGTCGCAGAAAACGGGAGTGGTGGTTTCATGGGCGATATGACCTTCTTTAATGGCGAGATTGGCATTCGATGTAAGTGGCTACTGGGACGACCAATTACTGGGACCAAACGCTCTAACCCTATATTCACACTACTGACACCCGGTCACAACAGGTGGAAACCAGCAGTTCACGTCGATCAACATGGTCTTCGTCGGCTGCCGCACCGGAATCGACATGCTCTGGGACTGGGGCTGGACCTGGAAGGGTCTTCTGATGAGCACTACCGAAAACGGAATCCGCATGTCCGGGGACTTCAGGGGCGGCTCCATCATCGTCATGGACTCGTTCTTGCTGGGCATGAGTAAGGGTATCTCAGTTTCCACGCCCGTCGGGAACACCCCCTCCGAGAAGTTTACTATTACGTTGGACAACGTCGAGGTCTTCGGCGTCGGTAAGGCCGTGGATCACGAAACGGATGGCGCCCAGCTCGAGGGAGGCAGCCGCGTCATTCGATCCTGGGTCGTCGGCAAGGTTTACGACGAGAAGAACCCCAGTGGCACATACCAGAGCGGGCCGCTGTCGGCTCTGCACCCAACGGAAGGCTCGCTCATGAAGGGCGGCGCATACTATAGGCGCCAAAAGCCCCAGTATGAGAACCTTGTCGCCAGCGACTTCATCAATGCCGGCACCCTCGCAAAAGGTGACGGCGTTACGGACGACACTTTTGCTTTATCAATTAATCTCGCGTTAGCAGCTGCCACACGTCGTCCGCTGTACATCCCCTTCGGGTCGTACCTTGTGAAATCCACTCTGCAAGTAAGGCTTTCCCGACTCCCCAACTCCATTCGTTTATATGGTGCTAACTAGCCCCGTTACTCGTCAGATTCCGGTCGGGTCCGTGATTGTAGGCGAGTGTTGGGCCCAAATCGTCGCCAACGGAGAGTCTTACAGCGACGCTGATTCCCCATACACTATGGTGCAGGTCGGGGACTGGGGCGAAAAGGGGAGCGTCGAGATCCAGGATCTCGTCTTCACCACAAAGGGCCCTACACCAGGCGCAGTTCTGATGGAGTGGAACATGGCCGAAGACCTGCAGGGCTCTGCTGCCATGTGGGACTCGCACTTCCGCATCGGCGGAGCGATGGGCACCGGCCTGACTGCTGCCGACTGCCCCAAGCTCACTGGTACTATCAATCCGAAATGCGTTGCCGGGTCCATGTTGCTCCATATGACTGGGGGTTCGTCGGGCTATCTGGAGAATGTGTGGGCGTGGGTGGCGGACCACGACTTTGACAGCGGCCCGGCACAGACCCAGATCGATATCTACGTCGCTCGTGGCATCTTGATCGAAAGCAAGGGCGGCCCTGTCTGGCTCTACGGAACCGCGTCGGAGCATTGCGTTTTTTATCAGTATCTCCTCTTGGAAGCACAGGACGTGTTTATGGGCAACGTAAGTGCCGGCGTTTGGACCAAGTCTTCCAAGCCCTTCCTTCTATCATTAGAGACTTGTAGGCCTAACAATGATGTCGAACCAGATTCAAACAGAAAGCCCGTACTACCTGCCAAAGCCCAAGGCGCCTGCCCCGTTCACGGACCAGGTCGGGCTCTTCAACGGGGATCCCGACTTCAGCGAGTGCCCAGAGTCGGAGCCGCACTGCGCAGCTGCCTGGGCATTGATGATTTCAGGGTCAACCAACGTTCACATCTTTGGCGCGGGGTTGTATAACTGGTTCGACGACTACACGCAGGACTGCATCGACACGCAAACCTGCCAGAAGCATCTCGTCCACGTGGAAGAGAGCGGACAGATCTGGTTCTATAACCTCTATACCATTGGGTCAGCCAACATGATTGACGCAGAGGGGTCCGATCCCATTCCGGCCAAGGACAACATCAACACCAACGAACATCCGTTCACCTCCGTCATTAACGCATGGCTGCTGTCTTCTTCCGGATCGTGAGTCTCACAGCGGCGCCACATTGTCCATTTGTGTCCCACCATGAAGCCGGACATCCCAAGTGCTAACTTGTAAACAGCGGAAATGTCGACAACGACCTGGCAGACCAGGTTATCCTGGGCACAATGCTCCCACCTTGCCCATCCAAATACGACACGCTGGAGAATGTCGAAAAGTCCAAGTCGAGCATCCCGCAACACTGTCTCGACAAGTACCTCCTTCAGACGCAGCTCAACACCCTCGGCACTGCCCTTTCTGACTATAACAGCATCTTGAGGGACGGGTACGACGACAAGTTCAAGGCCTATCAAAGGTCAGTCTTGCAACAAGTCCCAGACCAGATCAACAAGTTCATGGAGGGGGCCCAGGCCTCGGGCAACTGGACCTGTACCGAGACTCGGACCGTCATCTGCTGCAGAGGTTGCCAGAATCATGCGGCGTGCACGAACCCCATGTGCGACTTTTCCACCGACTGCAAGCCCGGCACCACCAAGAAGACAACTACCGTCGACTGCCCTGCGTCCATATCAAATAACTTACGTGAGCAGCTGCCGGTCCCCGTCGAGACGACCTACACGCTCAAGAACGAGCAGGGCTTCTGGGAGGGCCTGATGGCCGCGTACGGCATCCCGCAGGACTGGGTCAACATTGGGGAGCGGCTTGCGTACTTTGGAAAGGGCTGCGAAGGCGTCGCAGGCGACAGGACGTCGCCGGACACCTCGACCGAGTGCTTCAAGAAGTCATCCGTCTACTGGCACAACTTCCCGACGATGAAGCCGGGCGCGGCCATGGACGACCCCAAGGACAGCGTCAGCAAGTCTTACGACACGTTCAAGAACATCTACGACCGCGCCACCGTGTCCCTCGGGTTCGCCCAGTGGAACCTGTACGAGGCCAGCTCCACCGACATGCTGGCCACCGCGGCCCTGCCGGCCATGCTCCTGACCGACGCCGTCGACAACATGCGCCAGATCGCCAAGGCGGGCGAGGAGATCATTGAGCGCGAGCGCAAGCAGAACATCCTCTTCTGGCTCAACATGGTCCTCATGATGATCCCCGCGGCCGGACAGGTGGCCAGCAGCCTGGGCCGCGTCGCCATCGCCGTCGCCCTCCGCGTCGTGGGCGAGGCCGCCACCGCCGCCCTGACGCTGTACGAGCTCGTCGACGATCCAAAGAACGCCCTGATGACCATGATGGGCTTCTTCCTCGGCGGCGGCCTCTCGCGCCAGCCCTTCCGCGAAGCCGCCGCCGCCCGCCGCGGCATGCCCAAGTCGCAGTTCGAAAAGCTGCCGCCCAGGATCAGGACGGACCTGGGGCGCATCCAAACCGTTAGGAACGTGTGCCGCGCGCGTTCGTAGTGGAGATGACGACGACTGCCTCCTGGGTGGTATGGTATCTCTTGACATCAAACTCCATCTGTTCTCATTTTGTCTCCTTTTTCTTTTCGTGTACAACAGCCGATGCCGGCTTTAACAAGGTCTCGCGGTTTAGATGATGATTCCGCCTCCAGCACTGCCGGTGTCCGCCATCCGACCTATTGTTAGAACAATCTAATCTTGAATGGCATTTATTTCCAGGGGAGACCTGCGACCAATCGCGGGATAGCCATCGACATGATGTTTGTCATATGGATGTCTCCGGACCAATGTATCTGGACACGATATCCCTGCAATACGACAATAGCGCAGATCATCGGAAAAGACACCCTTCCTCTTGTATTGAGTCCAGAAAGAAGCTATTCTTGATCCCTAGTCCCCCAGGCACGCCAACGGCGCTCTGATAATCGGAGCAGGGCGTGTGTACACTACGTACCTCATCGTGTTGGCAACATGAATCCAGACCAGACGCTTCCTTTGTTCACCCCCCCCTCCTAGACATACCACAGCATTGCCAGCCCTGGACACCCAATTTGGTATACAGCAGATGCCAGGTGGGTGGATAAATGCACCGAGGGGTGCTTGGAGTTGTACACCAATACGCTGAGATGTAATCATTGCGAGACATGACTGCAGAGCCATTTCCTTGGAGGGAAACCTGGCCCCTGCATGCGGATATCACCAAAAGGCCCGTCGCATATGCCCAAGGGTTCATGGATGTGAAAGGACCAGCCACGTTGAAGCCAACGCCAACCTAGTACCGTCACTGTCGACGACTTAGCCAACCATTGGCAACTGTCGTTCATCTCCCACTACCACATCCAGAGAGTTGCTTGCTTGGCGGAATGGTGGAAATTGAGGAATAGCTTGTTTTGCCTTCCGTAGACTGCTCCCCTGATGCCACGCCTCTTCCCGGGCAACGACTATGAAGATTCATGTTGGAACAGACCAAAATCTAAAGCCTTGCTGTCTGTTAAAGCACGTCCACACAGCTGCCGCTCATGATACTGACTGTTTCTCATTCATTCTCTTGCCCCATTCAAATTTTCATCGGCCCTTTCTGCAATATGAATGGGCATTTCGACATACTGTGCGCTTTGTGCGCTGCCCTACTTTCGTTTTCTTCGGTGTTACCGCCCCTGTTCAAACAGCCTCGTATGTTCATCAACGCAGCTACTTCCTCCACTCTTAGTCTAGGATCACTCTTTGGTTTTCTCCTCGGAATACATATTCGAGGCTGTCACCGCTTTTGTAGAAGCGGCGAAACATTCCAGGCTCTCAGATGCCTTACCTGTTTCTTCTTCAATCATCTTTACCCTAGCGTACGCTGTACAGCTGGAGAGTCTTTACTACACAGGACCAAAGATACTCTCAGATGTCTTCTTAGGCTTTTAGTTCATCGATATTTAGTTAGGAATCATCAGAGAGAGAACGTTGCTAGCCACCAAGTATCACTCTATCTAATCTTTCTTCACCAGTCTTCTAGTCACTGCCTTGACCAGTCTTCTAGCCACTGCCACCAAAATCCTCGATCTCACAGCACTTATTTTGCATAATTCCAGGGTGAGAGCAAGGTCAGGAGATCTGAAGACCATACCAGAAGGCGAGAAACGCGACGATTCTGCCCCTTTCGCAGAAACCAACACCGAAGCCAACCGCAAGTACGGCAAATTCGACCAAGATGCACATGCGGAGATGAAGGAGTTGGGAGGATGGTGGCCATGGCTTCAAAAGTTCTCTGTCTTCTGGAAATATTTCTGGCCGGGTAGTGAACCCTGGTTGCAAAGCACCGTTATCTTTGCGATATTGCTTGCCTTCGCCATCAAGATATCAACTATCTTGTCCTCCTATTACCTCGGACTTCTTGTTACCGAGCTATCAGAAGCTGTGAAGAGGTCGAAACTTCGAAGCGCTGAGGTTCTTCCACTATGCCTAGGGTTAAACATCACTTACGCTTCGACCACCCTAGGCGCCATTCCGAATCTCCGAAGCTATCTGTATATGAAGGTCAAGATTTTTCGCAGCGGGAAACTCCATCGCGCATTTCATAGAACGGCCATGAGTCTCGATTTCTCTTTTCACAACACAATCAATCCACCAGACATCAGACATCTTGCGAATCACGAACGATTCGAAGGGGCTGTTAGACGCATTGGACAACGTCTGCTTTGTGGTTGTACCAAACATGATCATGCTGGCGACTTCGGCTACCTTTTTGATCAGAAAACATCGGCAGTTTATGGCCCTCGATCTTCTTGTGCTTGTGGTTGGCTACTTCATCGCCCAAAGACGTACGGCCAAGAATCTCCCAAAAGAACTAGACGACTATTATGCTTCCCTTAGAAACATGGAAGCATATTGTCGTGAAAGCATTCGATGCTGGGAGACGATTGCGAGTCATAGCAAGACGACCGCCACGATCAAGCAACACGGCTCAAAAGTAGATGCATGGGTCAAGCAGTGGGACAGGTATCTCATCTATTTCTACATCGGTGAATTTTCAGCCAGTATGGTCCAGATTTCAATTTTTACCTTTGGGCTACTACTCATCCTTAACGACATCTTTAACGAAAGGGCTACCCCCGGCGACCTTGTCGCTTTTGTAGGGTACTGGCAAAACATCACTACGTCTCTAGTAAATTGTAAGGAAACTAAGACTAGCATCTTGGAAAAGCTCCTTGGAGCTACTCGTGGAAGACGTCTCCTTGAGATGCCGGTCCAGGTCGAACATGGCCCAGATTTTGACTTTCGAGGCGGCGCAGTAGATTTTACAAATGTCGAATTTAGCTATGAAGGGAAGAAGGATTCTACGTTGAACGGTCTCTATCTCCAGATCGCAGCAGGAACGAAAGTTTCAATTGTCAGAAAATCAGGATCTGGCAAGTCGACAATGCTAAAACTACTGCTGGGACTTCTGAAACCCAGCAGCGGGCATAGACGAGTCGATAACCAGAAGGTCGAAGACATCAGCATCTCATCGTAAGCTAAACCTTCCAAACTTTCTATAGCCCCTACAAACTGATATTTCTCTCCAGACTTCGGTCTCACATCGGAATCGTTGCCCAGAATGCACGTCTTTTCAATCAAAGCGTTATGGATAATATACGATGTTTTGCCAACCAAGATGTCACCGACGTAGAGGTTGAAAACGCTTGCCGGCGCGCGTGTATTCATCAAACTATCAAGTCGCTTCCGGATGGTTATAGAACAAAAATAGGAGATGATGGACAGTGAGTTCCCGTTCGAAAGGGGTTTCTATCCTCATTACTAATTCTCTACCTTAGGAACTTATCAGGCGGCCAAAGACAAAGATTGTTGATCGCACGCCTGTTCCTTCAGAACCCAGATATTGTAGTGTTGGACGAGGCAACGAGTGCCCTAGATGTTGACACCAAGGCCTCTGTTCAGAAGGCCATCCGCGAGGCATTCCTCAACATGACTGTGATACAGATTGAGTGAGTCGCTCGACAGAAAGCATTTTGACATCGTTCTAAACTCACTATATAGGCATGATTTTTCAAGTACCGAGTCGGCCGATAGCATTGTCGTGCTAGCAGAAGGATGTTCAGTCCTAAGGCACTCACAAGTTCCTTCTACAAATGAATGGCCACTATGCAGAATTATGGAAGCAGCACATTAGAGAATTGGAGTCTTGAGCCGGAAAGAGATTTATTGCGAAGTTCCGGCGGCATTTCCACGGATGGTTGGGAGGACTCAGCCATGATTGAAAGAGAGAAACGGACTTGTTGGAATCAGCCAGCTGAGGACAGCTTAGAAGCAGAGAGGGGAAGAGGGAGGCGAATAGGGCGAGGTTGAGAATGAGAGAGTAAGAAAGGGGGGAGAGGGAGGGAGGCAGAGGGGGGTAAACATAACTTACAAGCTATGATAGGTGCCAGGAGCACGTAGCTATGGTACATGCCGAAATAACGCTCAGTGACTCATGCCATATGCCAGTCACAAGCTTCACCTCGTACATGCATGTAATAGGGTGTAGGGATGTAACATCGGCCTTCAAAGCTATGGGCCGTTTCCAAGTCTAGCTGACCAAAGAGTTGCATGGCCAGCTTTTGGTGAGACGTACACGCCGGGCATAGGCTTTGTTCAATCCCCTGTAATGGTCGCTAAGACCCAAAATTTCATGCCAGGGAAGGATGAAATCACCAGAGCCTATCACCCGTTGTCGATCGGACACGCGGCAGCCTTCAAGAGACTCACTCCTGCTCACCTCTGCGTCAACTGGCAGCCTGCTAAGGCAGAAACTGTCCTCATGCCTTTGAGAACCTTTCTCAAGGCAGCAGCTGGTCTTCTTTATCTCACTAAGGATCTTTGCAGGAGTAGAAAGATAAGGATTTGGCGAAGGACCACTCTATCGTAATACACCATGTTTCTGTCTTATGCTTCAATTACACAGGCGGCATCGATAACCTTGCACTTTCTCTCATTATGACCGCTTGGGTTATCATCGTTGCTGTCTAACACCGAGTAGGAAGTGGGAACCTTGGCTTAGGAAATGGCAAGTGCCAAGAGGTCGTAAACCAGGCGTTATGTGGAGGTCCTCCCACGGCCTGACAAGATAAACGCGTGTGCTGCGCGACAGACGAGCACTCTCAGCATATGCATGACAACAGCTATTGTTTAGATGAATGCAATGTTTGGGACATAGTACACCCCTGTTTGAATGATATCAAATTTGCTGTAAATGGACTTGCGTCTGGGGTTAGTAGCCTCTCGACTGTGGGCAGCTAGGTGGATACACTCCCACGGGGCCTAGAAACGCTACATACACAGTATTGAAGGCTCTGATGAAACCGGAAAACAGAGAGGGTAAGGGAACGAATGAAATGCGTATGCTTTGAGTAAACAGGACGTAGAGATTTCGTACCACATCCGTCGCCCGTTGCGCGTCGCATAGGGTGTGGTATGAGGATCCCGTATCCGGAGCGCGTCTCTGCGTCCGGGGGAAGGGGGAGGGGGTTCCTCTC